TCGTAGGAGAGACGGGTCTGATTTAAAAGGAGACATTAAATCATATATTGAAAGCAAAAAGATTAATGTGAAAAATACCGTGAGAGCTATTAATATTATTATTAAAATGATGTATGAAAGACGTAAGATATATACACAATTTAATAATCATCAATTAACTTATTTTCCTGAATTTAAATTATAAATAATATTATCAATATAATAAATCTTAATTTATTATATGGATAAACAAAAAATAATTAGTTATATTTATTATGATAAAAGCGGTTATGGCAGTAAAGGAATAACGTTGAAAGATGCAAGACAGAAAGATAAAACAATTACTATGAGTGATGTAAATGAATTCTTTGAAAATAATATTGAGGAAAAAAGGAAAATGCGAGGGCAGAATAGTTTTGTTGCTCCTCATGCCTTTTGGGAATTTCAACTGGATTTGCTTTTATTTCTAAAAATGATTTGGAAAATCAACAGTTTAGAATTGGATTAATATTAATTGATATTTTTTAGTAAATATGCTACTGTAATACCTATTGTAAGTAAGCAACCGCCAGACATATTAGCAGGAATAATGGAGGGTATTAAGAAAATGGGTGGAAAACCCAAAATGATATACAGCGACGAAGAAGGCAGTTTGTTTAGTTCTACCATTACAGATTATCTTGATGAGGAGAAAATCGAATTACACACAACGAGAGGCCATCCGGCATTTGGAGAAAGATTTATAGAAACCTACAAAGATATGCTTTTTAAAAGAGTTGATGCGGATGGAAAAAGAGGCAAGGAAAATATACAATGGATAGACTAAAATTTAGAAATATTATTGACATATAATAATAAATTAGTAAGTTCCGTTACGAAAATGACACCATTAGAAGCAAGGAAGAAAAAGAATGAGTTTGAAGTGAAACTGAATATATCAATGATTGCCAGAAAAACCCGTGTGTATCCTCATTTAGATGTGTCCAGTCGGGTAAAGATATTAAGGAAAAAGGGGATAAGTGAAAAAGCACAGACAAGTCATTGGTTAAAAGAGGTCTTCACAGTTGAAAGAATAGAAAGTAAATTAGGGCAGAAATATTATTATGTAAATGGAAGACCCAGACCATTGTTGAGGCATGATTTGCTGAAAGTGTAGGGTTTATGTAAAAATCTATTGTATGGTCGGTTGTTTGGTTTTTGTGTGGTTTGTTGTTTGGTGGGTATTTTTTCTATGAGGGTCTTACCCCAGAGCAAAAATAATATTTGTGTCTAAAACTATTTAAAGGGTAGATTGCTTATTATAGTAAGAGATTATGGAAAGGAAATATTGCGCGTGTTGTGGATGTTATAAGGCAAGAGATTTATTTTCAGGAAGTTTCAAAACCTGTGATAGATGCCGTGAAAGGCAGAAAAAGAAAGACCAAAGAAAGAGACTGAAAAACGCCGCGGATAAGCAACAGAAAGAAATAGAAGAAGGAGAAAAACAATATTGTTCACATTGTAAAATGAATAGAAAGATTGGGTTATTTTCGGAAAATCATAAAACTTGTGATTTGTGTAGAGACAAAATGAAAATCTACTCGCAGACATGGAGAGATAATCATAAAGAGGAGATAAGCGAAATAAATAAAGACTGTGGCATGAAAATATGTGTGTGCTCTGTTTGTGATTGTCAGGTTAGATTGAAACATAAAGCGAGGCATAAAAAAACAAAGAAGCACATTGATAATTTAAAAAAAAGATGAGGTTGAAGATAATTGAAATGGTTTAAGTTATTCTTAAAAAGGAATAACTTGAAGCATTTTATGTTTTTTTATATGGGTTTTGGTAAGTGGATTGATAAATTATGTTGGGCGGGATTTGGAAAAGTGGGTATGTTGCTTGCGGGTATGCTACTGCTTGCTGATAGAAGCCCTGTTTCTCACAACACTGGACCAAACTCTCATTTGGTTGGGAATGCTCTGCAAACCTCTCCTTCAGAGCAGCAACGATCTCTTCGGTCGACTTGCCCTCCATGGCATTCTTCACATCGGTAGAGGCAGCGCTCCTCACACGGTGGCACTGATGGTGACCCACAATCCCCACAAGCAATGGAAGTTTGATGAAAATGTAAGGCTACCCAAGGAAACACGACTTCAAGACTTGGCAACAGCGCTATATGCAAACAAGATGCCCCATCGCTGACAGAGACGCAAGTCAAATTCTGGGCCGCTTCTTGCTGAGGTGCAGCCCATGCAATACAACCCCCCACGAGTACAGCCTTTTGGCCAATGAGTCCACACCTTGCTGCAAAGCTCAAGTGCTCTGAACGATAATGGGCATGCAGCCAGGCATGAAGCCAAGCACTCCACCAGCAAGCCGGCCAGCCTCCGTCAAACCCAACGCCAACCTATGCGGAGCCTCCCTTCTGCCGCGTGCACGAGCGAAGCGTGCGATGCATATTGCAATGGACGGCACTACTCAAAGATGCCGGCGTTGCTGTTTCAGCAGCCGGCACAAAATTCGTCAGAACCACGGCCACCGCGAAAAGGCCGTGTGCCATGGTCCCGAGTCAAGCGGCGGGTGAGAAGCGGCAAGCAGCAGGTCAAGCCTCTGTGAAAAGCGTCTGTGATGCACCGGCAATAGGCGGATGCGACCACGAACACGGGGCAAAGCACTCAACGCAGCTGCTACGTTGCCGGTATATGACCAGGGAGTTGCTATGAAGATGCAGGGGGCGAAAAGTCACGGCCAAGGTCAAAGGCTGGCTGAAAGCTGAGCCCTGCAGAGCACTATGCAGTAGTCTCACTTCGAGAGAATGCCAAAGGCCTTTTCTCCCATGAGGTCCCCATACTTCTTGGCCTCCGCCTTATCCTCCTCTGAGATGTCGTCAAAGCAGGCGTTGGGCGTGTCGTCCTTGCAGTAGGCAGCCAGGCAACGGGAGATGCCGACGCAGGAGCAGTTGAACTCGCCCACGATCCACTTCTCGTCCTCGGTCTTCGTGCCTTCCGGGGAGGAGTTGATGAAGTCAGTGGTCCACCACAGAGGCACGGGCTCCTCGGCCAAATCCAGCGCAGGCATGACGTGCGGCAGGTCCTTCTTCAGGAAGTTCGTGGTCAGGTTCTCGAAGAGCTTCTCGTCAGGACCATAGTAGGTGTAGGTGGAACCGGTTCCACCCACTGCAGAGATTCCTCCCTCCTTGGGCTTCTTGTGGATAATGCCCACCAGGGAATCCACAATCAGGTTGTAGCGCAGCTCACCTGGCGGCTTCTGCACTTTCTAAGACGTGATTCTGCTTTCACGATGTTTCTCTGCCGTGCTATGATCTTGCGTGCCTTGTGTTGACATGCCACACCTTGCCATAACCAACCGTACAAACCGAACACGAACCCCACCACGCGGCACCTTCCACGATACGTGGACAGAAGCGCTGATCCACAAGCTGGCCACCTGCGTCTTTGCCGCCCTCCAAGTACTTGCCCACGCCCTTGGAGGTCCATTCTCCGGACTTATCGTTGCGGCCACTTACGCAGAACTCGACGAACTCTGCCACGGTATGCTCCTCCTCGTGGTTGTCGTTGGCCTCCATCAAGGACAGCTTCTCGCCATCCTCGCAGCAGCGCTCGCCGTACTCCTTGCAGTAGTTGCCGTCCTTCAACTTGATGATCCAGATGCCCTCACCGGAGGAGCCGCGGTTCTGCTTGATCACGCGCGGCTGAAACGCCATGGTCTTCTTGAAGCCAGCCGCCTTCAGTCCGGGAGTCCGCACATGACCACTGACCACCCTCGTGCAAAAAAACACAAGATACTCCCTGAACAAAAAACATCGCAAGCCGAGGTCACGACAAATTCTTCGGGCGAGTAGTACGCCAGGGTGTCTTCCAAGCCGATATTCAGCGTGGCCACCTTTCCGTTCGTGCGCTAGGTGGTTGAGTCTTAGGCAATTGTTCCCCCGCAGTCACGACACCCCAAAGCAAAGCGGCACGATCAAAAGCAAAGCACGTGTGCAAGCAAAAGCAGAAGCGCATGTGGACAGGCACGGGCAAAAAACACATGTGGGGAAGCCCTGTCCAACGTGACTGACCCCAGCCCTGCGAGCCCGCAAACGCTGCCTTGCACAGCGCATCCTTGGCACCCATCTTCTCCATGACATCCGGGGAAGGCCAGACCTGCCCAAATGCTTGTCCAATTTCAAGCGTCATCAAACGCTACAATCGCTCACAAGGATAAGCAAAGAACAGCCACACACACAATATGCACAGAATAGAAAAAGCATCCAAATCATGCTCAGTGAATTTCTGACAGGGGCCCTCAACTCCTCATTGACTCCGCCTGGATGCCGGTCTTGCGCAAGGCCCGCATGCCGTCATCAAACTTCTGCTGGTCTCCCCCATCAGCCTTGATCTGGCCTGCCAACAGCGCTGTGTGGTTCTCGTATGCTCAGCTCCCCGTTCGCTGCCCCCGCTCCAAAAGTGACTCTGATGATCGATGAGCCTCGCCCTATGGCCAGCCGTGCTTGTGGGAAACGCAAACTAGTCCTGCCATTCAAACCTGACACGTCGTTACTAGGAAATAGATTCTGATACACTCATTGCTCAGCTATTCTTCTTCAGAATCGTGAGTTGCAGCTTGCGAATGGTCGACATGTGCTTGGGTCTGCCGTTTTCTGCCAGGAAAGGGAGGAAGCCAAAGGCCCCCCAGAACAAGTGCGGAGAGCACAAAGTGAAGATTGAGGTAGCCAAAATGCACTTTGCATCTGTGGACCATTTACACGCTGTAACTCAACCACCATCCTGGAAAAGTAAAGCTGAGCAGCGAGGGGAAGGTAGGGCGCTGGTCATGCAGCCCTAAAATATCTCCAAACCGAATGTGTATCCTTCGCGGTTTGATTCAGCTAGAGAAGACGCACTTGCGTCGCGGAAAATGTCACAAGATACTGCCTCACCATTGCAAAACCCTTGCTGGGGCGTGGTATTTGCATGCTCCTCTGTTCCTGACCTGGCAAAGCTGCCTTTTGCACTTTTGGCCCTCCCCCCAGTGGCCTGGATTGCAACGCACGATAATGAAGTTGAAATTCTTGCACACATCGAAGAAAGTCTCATGCTCCTCGTGCGTGTAGTGAATCCTGGCAACGGATACGGAGTGCGATCCATCGTCCCACATGCTTTGGCAATGCAATTCACATGCCGGTCGGGCAGTTGACAGCTCATGCCAGAGGTGATCATGCCATTTGCAAACGGCACCGAGTCGTACCGATGACCTCCGCAAAGACTGCCCTTGCGCTTGTCGACTATTTGCATGTGTTCCCGAGCAACGACAACATGATCTCCAAAATGGTTTCCCTGCCCAAACCATTACATCCAAGGCTTGAATGGAGGGTATGTGCCCCACTTTCTCATGAGGGAAGTGGTTTGGGGGCAGCGGAGACTATCTTAGATTTCCCTACTTATGCGCAAGAATCCTCTGAAGAAAAGCAAGTGGCGGCTTGTGTTCATATGTAGAGCATTGGGGCATCCTCAACACCGTGTCCATTGGTTCTTACAAGCCAATGACGAGGGTCGCCCGGAGGCAGTGGGTCAGCAGTTATGGACTGCCATGAGTCGGTCTCTGCCACCCAGGTTTGCCACTAAAAAGAAAGCTGGTCAAATGGTCGGATTGTGCAGCTTCCTTTTGCAACCATGAAAGCCCGACCCCAGCCAAACCTCTTGACACCAGATTAAGAAGTCCAGCTTAGTATTAGGGGTGAGCTTCCCCCCGAAGTGAGGAGATTGTTCTCTAAACTGGGGCCCGGCTCTTTCACTGTACATTTCAGATCGCATTGGTCTTGGAATAGCATGACAATGAGTTCACAGCAGCCCTCCATTGAAGGGCGACATCTTGTCCAGGTAACGCAGAGAGCCGAGCACCCCGCCATTGTTGCTCTTGTCCGAGCCTGGCACCGCCACTGGCAAGGCTCACAGCAAAGAAATAAGGGAATCAGTGAAACGAGCGAGTCCTAAAAGGAAGCGAGGCACCCTGGAAGAGCTGATACCCCCAATGAGTCTGGGTCCAAATTGCGGGCCTCCGTAGGGCTGACTCCGAACGAAGATCTGGCACAAGGCGCCCTTGAACTTGGGCTCCTTTGGCTGCTCCATGAGGCCCTTGTAGTCCTTGCGTGTCATCAACACGTGCACCTCCATTTGTTTCATTCTGCAAAGCTTGCCCAAGTCGCACTCACGTTTCCTTGGCCACAACGGAGATCTTGCCGCAGTCAACTGGTCCCGGGCAAGGACCTAAAGAACACCAAGGCACAAAATCACAAGCTCGTGCCACACATACAATCAGACGAGGCAAAATGAGCAAACCAGCCCAACATGGAAGACGAACCCCCATGGAAAATCGCAAACTACTCCTCGATTGCCTTCGCCAAGACCAGGTAAGAAGGGCCAGCCGCGGTATCCCGAACGCTGCGACAAAGATTCGATCGCAAACTCAGGCGGGTGCCAGAGGAGCCGCCTGGCGCAGGCACGGACCAGAAATCGCAGTCCAACTCCCTTTTTGCACGGGCCATCATGGGCCATCACGGGCCATGGGCATTGCACTGCCTTGTGACGAGACAACATGTTTGGCGCAGAAGATGGTCGGACGGGCGCGCCATCCAAAGCGGATTTGATCTTGGTGAGTTGATCTGTGGGAAGCTCCTGGCCGCATGTGCATCCAATGCTCACACACTGGACCAAACTCTCATTTGGTTGGGAATGTTCTGCAGACCTCTCCTTCAGAGCAGCAACGATCTCTTCAGTCGACTTGCCCTCCATGGCATTCTTCACATCGGTAGAGGCAGCGCTCCTCACACGGTGGCACTGATGGTGACCCACACTCCCCACAAGCAATGGAAGTTTGATGAAAATGTAAGGCTACCTAAAGAAAGGTGCACGCAGTGTGTTAGGGGACACTAAGCATATGGTTGTTTGGCATAAATCCCCAGTTCGCAGACCCTTTGGACAAAGCCCTGGTGGATGGTCTCAACTGCGCACACTGCGCCCAAGGCGCCCCATGTTGACGGATGCCGAGCTACTCAGACTGACAAAAGTGGTTTGAGCCTTGATGGCGAAACAAGAGTGTGAAAGCAAAGCATCTCGCAACTGCATCCGTTAGAATCTTGGTCACTGCTTCAAGCCTAAAGGGACATGCAGGAAAAAAGCAACCGACCGGAGCAAACTCGGTACGCGCTTTTTGACTTGAGCGTTGCTTAGAAGTGCAGGCTCAGAGATGCAGGTGGAGTGACGATGCGCGTCCACTCCATTTTCCTGCATCTCATGCGGAGCCTGTCGGAATACCCCCCCTGAGGTCAACATTGCGTGTTCGACCATCACACAGGGTGTTTTACCCGTGGGGTGTGAGACGGAAAAGAGGTATGCTGCACATGTATGCAATGCGTGCATGAGTGTGCATGGGAGGATGCGTCCTCCTGCAGGGGGCCAGTCCGGGCCGGCAGAATGCCGATGGCATTCGTCAATGTGTGCTTGCGTGCACTGCGTGGGCCTCGCTGCGTATGCTCGAAATGGTCCTGCGGGAGTATCGAGATGCAGTAAGCCGACGAAATGTTGGGAGCTGACCAGCTTCCATTCATGCGGCTGCATGCGTCCCTCTATCAGGCCTTGTGGAGGCTGCATGCCACCTGGGCCGTGAAAGGGTGGGAGGGTGGGTTCAAAAAAGAACGAAAGAGGGGTCAAACCCTCCAGGCATGTCCCTTACCAAAAGGCTTGAAGCAGAAATGGCACGCGGCCGAAGATTCAACCAAGATTAAAACACAGGGGAAAAGACAAACCCCTAGCGTTAGAATCTTGGTCACTGCTTCAAGCCTAAAGGGACATGCAGGAAAAAAGCAACCGACCGGAGCAAACTCGATACGCGCTTTTTGACTTGAGCGTTGCTTAGAAGTGCAGGCTCAGAGATGCAGGTGGAGTGACGATGCGCGTCCACTCCATTTTCCTGCATCTCATGCGGAGCCTGTCGGAATACCCCCACTTTAGAGTTCTAAGCAAACGGTCAAATCACCTTACCCCCTCTTTAGTGCGTTTGCGCAGCAGCCACGTGCTCGGGTCTCCACGGTGCGTCCGCAGGGTGAAGTGTGAGAGCTGATGCGTGAGGCCAGAAATCATGCGGCCTGAAGCGCACTCTGGCTTCTGGTCGAGCCTGGAAAGCGGAGGTATTACCTCTGCTCAGCTGGTCTGCCCAGATGTTGTGCTCCCCTGGGATGTGTGACGCGATCACGGACCATTTGTGCTTATGGGCCCAGGCAGCAACAAGTTGCACAAAGACTTGCAAGGGCCAAGAAGTGGTGAACAGTTTATTAACACCGGCTTCGGAAGCTGTGTTATCTGTTCCTGTGGGCATGCAAATGCCATGCACGCCTTGTCCCTCGCAGGACCACGCGATCCGCATGAGTGCTAGTTGGGCCAAGGTTTCGAAGCATGCGATGTAACGCTGGGCTTCTTTGGTCAGGCATGGCCATTGTGCCTGGACTTCTTGGAATTGCCATGTCTCTGCGAACCACGCAACGGAGTTGCGGGAGATGAACCAACCTCCTATGCCTACTATACTGCCCTCGGCGCAGGCATCCGCGGCGGCTTTGCAAGCCAGCATCGGTTTGCTTCTCAGCGGGCATGCGAGGTCGAGATGGAAGCATTGCAGCAGCCATTCTACGCTGTGTTTGCTCATCTTGGATAGGCGAGTGTGCTCTGCGGAGGCGTCCGCTATGCGCACCCAAGCGGACTTGTGGCTAGGCACAACGCGAGGCAGGTCGGCTGGCGTGCGAATGCATGCCCCTTGAAACTCTAGAACTTTAGAGCCTAGCGGCATAAAAATGCCATGCACTGCTGATTTGAGCACGGCTTTGGCGTCTAATGCTGACAGGAAAGATGGCCATAAACGCGCATGGACAGAGAGCATGCAACCCGGCGGCGAGGCGTGAGTTCGATGGTCTCGTGCAGGAAATTAATGCGCCACCCACACCACGTGAGGTTGTCCTGAAATTGAACTTTCTTCCAGGAGATCGGGGCCGATATGGCTGCAAAAAACATGACCATGAGGGCCAGCTGCGAGTCTGCGTCATTGCGACGCAGTGCGGCTAAAAGGTCATCTACGAACAACCATGCGCGATGCGGGTGCAGTCCCAAAATGCCGTGCAGTAGTCTCAGGAGGAATGCTCCGGCGCGCTGCCACCAGTATGCGGAGAAGCGTGCTCCGAAGTGGCACACTCTATAATGGTACAGGACATTGGCAACCCGAAACAAAAGCAGGCCATGTTCACTGGGGTGCACCTGGATCTGCTTATGCGCTGCTTTGAAATCAAAGCTTGCCCCCACAAAGGACGAGTGCGTGTCCTCGGGGAGGAAGGCTAAGCGCACGTCTGAGGCCATTGGCAGGCTGATGCGTTCGGGAATTGCGCACTTGGGGTTCACCCCACACACAGCGCTGTCTAAGACTAGTCGCGGGTCTTTGCCTTCAGCATGCACGACGTTGAGCTTCCCGACTGCTATGCCTTTATGCCAATGCTGTCTGGCTTGTTCGATGGACATGCTGGTACGGATGACCCATCCGTTTGCAATTTCTTTTTCTAGCAAGGCGGACACTGTTTCTGGTTCCGCTTCAGCGGCTTTCCAGTTGCCGATGCACTCGGTGAGTTCACTAGGCAGGTGGTCTGCCTGGGGTTTTGGCGGCCGCATGCTGCGCGGCAACTCCGACACCGCCCCTGTTGGCACGCCTTCTGCCAGCAGCGGCACTAGTTTGAGGTCGGGGTCATTGGATGCCGTCGCTAGGGCATGCAAAAGTGATAGGCGGTACGGCTGTCCTTCATCGGGCGCAAGCTCGGACGGGCACGGCATGCTCATGGCGCGGAATGCTATTCGTGCTGCCTCCTCGGATTGCTGTTCCGAGAGAGGAGGGGATGCGTTGCCGGAGCCCACATGGGCCAGAATTTTTGGGATGAGTTTTTGTTCGTTTAGCCAATGCAGCCAGGCCCGAGCGACTATGGTGAGCGGGTGGTTTGGTTGAGGGATTGAGTGGTCTGCAGTTGAATGCATGCCAGCTCCGTCGCATACCCGCAGGCGCACGGGGCGCAGTGAAAGCGGGGAGGGTTTGCTTAGGCGGCGGACCTCGGGCTGCGTGCTCACTTTGAATGCGCAATGTTTGATCAAACTTGCTGCAAGGCTTGCCGGGTATTCGGCTGTAAGCGTGCTCAGGTACTGGCCTGAGCTTCCCTGAACTCCAGCTATGCTGGCGTGCTTTTGTTGATGCGTGCATCTGCTGGCCACGTGCTGGATGCATGCGTTGTTGCTGGCGAAGCACCATGATTTGGAGAGCAGCGTACCATGTTGGCACGCATCCACCCATGCGAGGTGCCCGTGAAAGTTTTGTAAGCACTGGAAATTTTCCGGCTCTAACCACGCCATGCTGGACGGTGGCTGCTCGAAGATTGCTACGCCACTTTGTGAGGCTACTGCTTTGAACAGCTCTCGTCCTCTTCTGTGGATTTCGCGGCTGTCGCGAACCCGAGAGAGTTCTGCGGGTGACAAATTGGGCACACCTAGCATGCATGAAGGTGTGCGTAACGCTTTGGGCCCGCCCGGCCTAAGCTTTAGCCGGGAGTATTCCTTGCACGGCGGTGCTAGGGTTAGCAAACTAACGCTGCCCGACCAGCATATGCGTAGAAGCAGTTCGAACCATGCGTCATCCAGAATGTTGTGCTGAGGATTGGCGTCCAGGTCAAAGGCTTCGAAGCGCGCCAGGCCTCGTTGGTCTGCTGCCGCGGAAATTGGTGCACGCACTCCTGCGAAAACGTCCAGCAATAGTCCTCCCCTGGGCGTATGCGAGGCTCTGGCGTCTGCAGGTGTGGGTTGGCATGCGGGATTGGGCACATTGGATGCGGCCGGCGGTACTGCACCGTCCGGGGAAGTTGCCGGGACTTCCGTCGGACTGTTTCATGTGTGGTTTGATGCGTGCTGGGATGCCGGATGCGTCTGCTGGCACCCTTTTATCGCGCACACATGTGCAAACTGGCAGTTGTCTGATTTGCACTGCCCCGTTTGGAATCTGCGGCAAATAGGCTTTCCATTGTGCGAGGTAGCCCAGGCGTTTTTGGACTTTCCTTTCCCCTTGCCTTTGCCTTTCTTGTGCGGCGGCTCGGATTTTTGCGGCCGGCTGGCGGGCCGTTTGGGCTGCCTGGGAGTCAGTTGGGCCCGTTTAGCGGGAGGTAGTGCAGGCATGGCTTTGGAGATTTTAGGTCGCAGCATGAGGAGCGAATGGATCTCCATGCGGCCATGCGTGAGTTCGTGGAAGGCATCGTCCATGGACCATTTGCGATGCAGAAGGTCTACGATTGTGCCCCAAATCTGGCGATCCGCATGCAGTAGTTCTGAGGTCGTGACTGTGCGCAGGGACAGTGCGGGGTCTGGCTGCATGAGGCACATGCTGGCAATTTGCTGATCCAATGCTTTGGCGTTCAGTAGGTGCACGGCTTGGCACAGGGCCAATGCATTGCGGAACACTTGTTGAGTGCGACGCAGCCAGCTAGCTGTGAGTGCTCTGCCCTCCACACTGACCTCTGGGGTTTCGTCACAGAACGCATGCGTCAGTAGCTGTGCTTCGGTGCGTGCTACTTTATGTGAACGTGCTTCCATGGCTTCTTGGTATTGGCGTGCACTGAGTCTCAACTGCCACGGGATCCATTTGAAATGCTTGGACTTGGTCATGTCATAGACCATGCTTAAAAGGCGGATGCTAGGCATGCTGTCCGGACCTAACAGCTTGCCGGGGTAGTTCTTTTGGAACTTGTCTGCTAAGTCCTGCACGACTTCTGGGCTCAGCTTGGGGGGCAGATGTTCTGCCCATGCAATTGCGGGTGATGTCTGCGGACTGGGCAAAACCTGTCCTGTATGCGGCCCGGATGCTGTTGGCGTCAGGGCCAAGGATTCCTGCGAGGCGGATGCCTTGGCCATGACAAAGGCTCTCCTAATGCGTGCCGCAGGTATCGAGTGCTCTGGATCCGTGACTCCCATCGCGGTCCACGTTTCAGCAGGCACGCCGTCCAACAGCTTGCTGAGA